GAATTAGAGCTCATACCTCCTGGGGTGTTGGGAAACTTCAGTGAGATCATTCCAGTGAGGCACCGGTGCTCTCCCTGATGGCCTCGCACAGTAAGCACTCAGGTGTCAGTTACGAGCAGCTCTCATTTTGAGGCTGTCTACACAAGTGGTATCTCGAAAGCCTGCATGTGACCTTTCTGCTTCTCCAGTAGGAATGGGGACAGTGACACTGCCTGTGATTTTTCTGTGAGTCGTCTCCTCCCTCTGTGCCATTCCTCCCTCCTGCCCTCCATATCTGCTAACTCCCTACTGGGTTTTGCCCAGCACCCTCCTCTTTTATCCAGCCTGCAGAGTTGTTCTGCATCAGGCAGCACTTCAGTGCATATCTCTGTCCTGGGGTCTCTAAGAAGATTCAGTGGGACTTGTAAATGGCACTGATGAAGTTACTCAGGAAGCTGGGTGTGGCCCCCAGCACTGCGGTCATTTAGAAGGTGTGAGACACAGGGAATTCCCTGGCGGTCCGGTGGTTAGGACTCTGCGCTCTCACTGCTGAGGACACAGGTTCGCTCCTTGGTTAGGGAATTAAGATCTCGCAAGCCCCGCGGTGCGGCCCAAAAAGGTGTTAGGCGCGGCCTTTCCTCTTGGACCTTCCTTTGGTCTGGCTCTCAGCTTGCTGAGATGCTGGGTCCTCACTGTCTGACAGCCTGCCAGAGGACCGGCTGGCCTCCGCTACTTCATCCTCTTCATCTTCCACATCCTCTTCCCTTAGTATTCCCTCCCACAAGCCTGCTGCCTTGAAAGGAAAAAAAAAAAAATCCAGTGAAACTCTGAGGTGCACCGTATTGAGATTCTCATGGGAGGTCCTGGGGCACTGCCTCGAGCTAGCACCTTGATGCTGGTTTGCATCCAGTTCGTGGGTTCTGAGCAGGGTCCTGACTCAGCAGAGATCCCTTGGATTGCTTTTATGCATGAGTTTTGAAAGCAATCATACATAGCAGTGCTTGAATTACTAAGATGCTTGAGGACAGTCTTTTGCCGAAATACCCAGAGGAATGGAAGCATGGTTTGATGCCAACTTCAGAGGCTTTTCACATCCTCCAGTGGGCATTAAGCAGATTAACAATTGATTGTGTAGAGCCTTCATCCCTCCTGTTGCTAGCCCAGGAGGCCTAAACTAACCATTGTGTGAATATCCACAGTGTTTAATGTGTTAGACCTGGGGATACGGATTGCACCCCAAATGTCCATCTTGTAAACTCTCTGGGCACATAATTATATTAACAAGTTTAATCAACAAAAATGCACTATAATCTTATAGCTGGTAAAGAAATGAGCAAAGGCCCCTTCCTACACCATCCTTCTCATCCAACACACACAGAGGCTGCAGGGTCCGTGGCCTTGTTTGGGGACTGAGGGCGTGGGGACTACATGAGGCTGTCTTGGCACTCTCACTGCGGTCTGCCCCCTCCTGCCCCCTGAAGTCTAAAGGTACCCCATCTTGTATCACGTGCATGTATTTGCTTTGGTTGTGCACCTTGCATTCTCTCAAATCCTGGAGACTAATTACAGCCTTCTGGTTGATGGAGGGTGGGGAAATCCTAATTTCTTCCTCCTGCCATCATCATTTTCTTCCCTCTCCACCTGTTTTACGCTATTTCCCCAGCAAGTTCGGCAGGTCCTTTCACCCTCTTCCTCTCAGCTCACCCAAAAGAATGGAGGCTCCACAAGGATGGCAGGAATCTTTTTTTTTTTTTTTTTTTTAATCCACAGCTGTATTCCCAGCTCCACCCTCGCCTGGCACGTGGCAGGCACTCAGCAAATGTTTGTCCAGTGGATGAATGTTTTGTCAGTCTCTCCAGAGACTGGAGTCTTCCAGTGCTCTTTGTGACATATTCTGTACCGTCACCCCACACGTGTGCAAGCCAGCTTCACTCCATTGATTAAGAGAATGGAACAAGTCTCACCTGACCTGTAGCCCATAAGTCAGCAGAGTCCCAGCCCCTTGGACCCCCGTTTCATGTCCGCCGGAAGTCAAAAGACCTCTCTAAGATTTGTGCCAGTTCAGGGATGCGGGTGAGGCCCAACATTCTCAATGCTCACTCTGCCTCCAGGCTGTTCCTCTTCCCATTTCTCAGCCCTGCACTGACCCAGATGTGAAACCCAGCCACTTCCTCTGTGTGTGTGTGTGTGTGTGTGTGTGTGTGTGTGTGTGTGCGCGCGTGCGCGCGCGCACCCACACACATTCAGACCATTCACACCAAGCGTGGTGAAGGTCTGGACATCCCAAGCAAGGCTCACATCACACGCCTTACAGTGGATACCTCACAGTAGCGTATGTGGTCCTCCCGCTTCTGCAAGCTCCTTTGCTTACCCCACTACTGGTGATTTCTCCCAGCCTCTTCACCCTACACAGCTCCCAGCGTTCTCGCTGACTCTCTCTCTTTTCACCTCCTTTTCTATAGGGAATAAACATTCAAAACATTTTCTCAGGTAGAATAGCTTAGCCGTGTTTTTATAATTTGGGCTCCTGACTCCAAATCTCTAGGTTCTCACCTTATCTCCCTACCAGCTTATCCACTAGCCTTGTTTTTCTAAACTAACATAGAACTGCCCTCTCCAATCGCTTGTGGCTACATTTGTGAACTTGACAGGAAAGCTAAGTATACCTCATAATCACAGGAGCACAAGCCTATTGACTTAACTCAGCATTTCGTACAATTAACGAATATATGCTGGTTTATGAATAGATGACCTCTGGAAAGAAACACAAGAAGCTGGTGACAGTGGAGACCTCCAGGGAGGGGGACTGAGTAAACTGGGACAGAGTTTGGATAAAGACTTCCTTCTCGCCGTACACCTTTCTGTATCGTGTATTTCCTGTGTTTAAAACACACTGACATCGTATGTGTTTAATGTCAATAAATAAGGTACAATTCTCTTGATACGCTAGTTACACCAAAGTGGTTATAGCCAGTGACCTAAAACCACATGCGTCATGGGGAGAGCTGATGTCTATGCTTGATGGATTAGGCTTCGAGCCCAGTTCTGGAGAATTTGCCGTTCCTTGTTCACGTCAGTTCTTTCCATTAGGATTTCCTGGTTGGAAAGAGCCAAGCTCTTCAACACACAGTCCTTACTGTCCACGTGTTTAGGTTACATCATTTGGATGAGGAGACCCAAACTCCTAGAGATACATCCCAGGAGCCACTTCGTACCTTGACAAATACTACAAAATATTTCCTCTTAAGGGGAAATAGATTTTCAACACACTTTAAATTTTAAGAATACATCTGATGGAGAAAAAAATGTACATCTGTTGGGACAATCTGAGTAGTAATAAATACGGATGTTTTAAGGATAATAATTGCATTAAATATGAGTTCACAATTAAACTATACAAACAAGCAAAAAAAAATCTCATTGGTTACTTTTGGAGGAACCAACTATCGTTTTGAAAACTGATAAATAAAAAGAGAGAACCAAGCATTTACCCTGCCTATGCAAACTGTACTTCATGATAACCAAATAGTTGATCAAGGAAAATTTCTCTTTATGGAAGTTTTCAGTAAATGAACCAAGGAGTGAGAGAATTTGAATATCCTCATTTCTCAAACCCTCTTGATCTAGGCAGTGATCACCAATAGCTGCTAATATCATAAAAAATAGAGATGTTCTTTGTATTTCCTGTACATTTATTTTGAGATGTATAAAGTTGAGTACTTCAGGTTTAATTTTTTTTCAGGAGGAGTATTTATAAGTGTGTCCTGTCATGTGCCTGCTGATGGAAGTACATAACATAATTTCTCCTGAAATAAAAAACAAATCTGAATTTAATCAAATTTCTGTATCTCATAGCGAATTTATAGAAAATATAAAGGAATGGGTTACATAATACCATGGCCGTGGAGTCAGCAAAATTCAGACCTTGGACAACTCTACAGGACCTGGTTTCTTTAACAAAGGGAGGAAAAAGAAGAAAGAGAGATGGGAGGAAATGTATAGATTAAAACAGATTTAAGAGACAGTCAACAAATCGTCACGAACAGACCTTATTTAGATCCTGGTTCAAACAAACTGTTTAAAAAAATGTATGGGGCAATTAGGAAATTTTGAATATTGAGTAGATATCTGATAACATTAAATTATTGTTCATGTTTTTAGGTATTATAGTAATACTATGGTTATATTCCCCAAAAGTCCTTATCTTTGAGATACCTATATTGAAATATTATGGTTGAAGTGAAAATTTTTAAAATCTGGCATCTGTGCTTATTTACACATAAAAATCTATGAAAGGATACATAAGGGACTTGTGATGATGTGTTGATACTGGAAGGGGAGCAAAGAGTCAGGATGGGAGAGAAATGAACTTTTGGACAGAAAATTATTACTTTTGCAGGTAATACCTTTTCAAAGGACTAACCAAAAATATATTAAATATAATGGAAAAAAGTTAATTTAACCTTGCAAGGCTTATCTGGGGGAATGAGAAGGCATAGACTCATTATAGAGCATGTGGATGGATTGACCCAGAACCATATTTCTCAAAGTGGGTCCTAGGACCCTCTGCATCGGCATTGGGCCCACCTCTATCCCTCCCAGCCCAAATCTGGGAGAGTGAAGCACAGAGACATTTGAGAATTACAGGCCTTGATAACCTGAGTGCCACCTTTTAAATACTTATTATATTGTTTTGGAACTTCAAAAATTCATAGGGCAAAAATACTCCCAAATTGAAATTCAAAGCAGTGCAATTCTGAAAGTCTGAAAAGGCTTTTTTTTTTAGATTTGCTGACAATGATTTAATCAGCAGATGTCACTATGTAACACTGGGAGCATCCCTTCCATGTTGCCTCATTTTTGGAAAGGCAGAGTCTGCTGCTGGCAATGTAACATAGAAATATTTATGGTAATCTTGTATTTTGTTTAATGAAAATAATTTTTCTTTTACTTCCAGTGCTTATTAAAAGTTTATCTTTGATTAAGCATTCTTTGCTTTTGTTTTTGTTTTTTTCCCCCAGCATCATTGACAAAGAAGTTTCATTAATGGCAGAAATGGATAAAGTTAAAGAAGAAGCCAGTAAGTAGACACATGGTTGTTTGATTAGGAGCCTCCCAATCAGAAGTAAGCCATAGGTCAGATTGCCAATGATACAGATTCTGAGTGGGGTCCAAAAGGATGGAGTAGTAGCACCCACTGAGCGGAGGGCGGAATAGGCATGCAGCAAAGAATAGGTGCCAGCTGAGCTTATTTAAAGTCCAGGGAGACTTTTGTGCCTACAGAGGACTACTTATAGTTAATTGGGTTTAAAATGACGTTGAATGTAGTATTAAATTTTAAAACATAATTTTTTATGCCTTTGCACCCTACAAACCTTGCTATACTACTCATACAATCCTTTTCACTTGTTCTTTCAACTAACTCAAGTTTACCAAATTAAGTTCCCCTAAAAAATGTGTCCTATTTGAAAGTTACTTCAATTCCCCTTAACATTTTGAATTACATTTGTAAATTTAATATATCTTATTTTTTTCAAACACTTCGGATACCTGACAAGGCGAACTCACAAACCTAACCAGCAAAGTATTCCAAGCTCTTAAGCAACTCTTATAAGATTAATAATTCAAACTTAGAGATGTACTAAATGAAGTTCTCTTAAAACACTCCAATTCTGTTTACAAACTCAGCCAAATTCGCTAACACCTGCCAACTTAACACCTCAGAAGAAAATCAGTTACGTGTTTGAAATCACAAGTGAGATTGCGTAATATACAGAATACTCTATATTTAAATAATGAACACACGCAGACAATCTTGACCATTGCAAAACTTTTTCTGAATTTAACACAAAATATTAGTACTCTGGGTTTGATTTATCTTACTATTTTTATACCTATTTCTAAACCTTTCCACTGCTGTAAAGTTAACCCAACAGCCATTAGGGTGGATTTGCCATCTCAAATAGGCTGAGGTTCATGGGTTGGAAATTTCAACTGAGACAAGATTGCTCAGTCAGATTCAACGCAAGTGTACATGCTGATCCCTCTTTTATTTTTAAATTCATTTGCTATGTTAATGGGAGCCCTAAGACCATTTTTTTTTCTTTTTTTTCCCCTAAGACCATATTTTTCGGCTGGGAATTAGTTTTACAATCCGTATCTCCTAGGCATTTTAAATTCTTCATCCTTACCCAAATATTATCTCATAAATTGGATAAATGGCAGTCTGCACCCCCAGCCAGGTTTCAGCTAATTTCCTTTACTTTTGACTTCAGTGCTTTCCTTTTTATCAGTGAAGGATCAGACCAGATTCTTCATTCTCTTAATTTTTTTCTTGCCTGGCCCTTGGCCATAAATTCAATAGTTATTTTATGGAAAATAGCTATCATTATTTTTGTTAGACAATTTTTCCAAATAATTTTAAACAACATTTTAGAATCTAAAATACAGCAGGTTTTATTAAATAAAACTAAATGTGATCCAGGGTTAAGCTGTGGAATATATAGATAGTTACACAATTCCTTTGACTGTGAAATTATTTTATTTTATTGACATTTGTTGATTTCTTCAGTAGCAGTAGATTACCCCATGACTTGGGATCTTCCCTGTTTCTCAGGTCCAGCTTATTTTCCCTCTTCAGTTTCATATCCTAATGATAAAAATGTAACAGCCAACGCAAACACAAATGTTTCTCTAGCACCAAATAGAAAGTTACTAGCACATCACTTTCTCAGAGTTTAACAGAGGGCCTCAGATTTCAAGTGCTCATTCTTCCTTCTTGGGACAGTAGTATTCAGTCCCAAGACCTGTGGAATTTGGGCATCTCTGGAGAGCATCCCCATTTTTAAAACTCATTCAATCAGTAAACATTGACTGTGTGCTTCCTTGTGTGCTAAGCACTGGCAGAGAGAGGGACAAACGAGCAAACAGATAAATCTGGGACCTGCACTCATGGAGCTTTCAGGCTAGCCGAACCGGCTAGCTTGATTGACAGGGTTCCCCTAACTTCAGGAATCCGTCCTGGTTTAGAACCGCCCAGCGCCCTGGGGAAACCAATTTGCTTACCTTGGAGGTGAATAGAAATGAAGTCAAATCCAGGTTCCACCTATTTACTGGCTGTGTGACATTGAACTATTTTGTGAATTTCTAAAGTCAGGCTCCTAATCAGAAAATAGGGCGTGAGAAGAGTGTCTATATCAACTAGGTATCAGCACAGTGCCTGGCACGGTGTGTATAAACAGAGAAAAGCCCCTCTTAGTAGAGAGGTTAGTCCAACCCCTCAGAAAACAGAGGTCAGGGGGGTTATGCAGCCTCTCTCAGGTGACACACCTATGTCAACCATAAGTCTTCTCCATCGATAGAAAGAACCATTGAACTTCTCCCCACAAAGTGCTGAACTGTCTTTGCAACCACCATTTTGAGCTTCCTTATCTATGGTCTCAAGAGTATTTTCCACGTTTTCCATTTCCTGCACATGATATAAACCATATTTCCCCAATTATAACATAAGCTCCTATATCCCTCATGGCACCTAACACAAAGCTGAGAAGACTGTGGGTACTTCATTGTATTTCTTAAAAGAATTATTGTAATTAATTCAGTATCTACAGGCTGTGGGATCCAATATTAGTGAACGTGAACATAATTGCAACAAGAGGGAGGTATATTCTAGATAAATATATCTCACTTTAATAATAGTATTTGTGGGCTGCCCTGGTGGTGCAGTGGTTAAGAATCCCCCTGCCAATGCAGGGGGACATGGGTTTGAGCCCTGGTCTGGGAAGATCCCACGTGCCGCGGAGCAACTAAGTCTGTGTGCCATAACTACTGAGCCTGCGCTCTAGAGCCTGGGAGCCACAACTACTGAGCCTGTGTGCCACAACTACTGAGCCGGCGCTCTAGAGCCCATGCACCACAACTACTGAGCCCACGTGCCACAACTACTGAAGCCCACGCACCTAGAGCCCGTGCTCCTCAACGAGAGAAGCCACCACGATGAGAAGCCTGCGCACTGCAAGGAAGAGTAGCCCCCGCTCATCGCAACTAGAGAAGGCCCGCATGCAGCAACGAAGACCCAGTGCAGCCAAAAATAAAATAAATAAAATATATAAATTTATTTTTTTTAATTAAAAAGAATAATAGTATTTGTAGTTAGGGTTTTTTAGGGTACTTTTCTAAACAATTCACATAGGTTCATTCAGTTCCACAATAACCCTGTGAGGGGTATATGATTATTACATTTTACAGATGAAGAAAGTAAAGATGCTGTCGTGCTATGATCTCAAACTTTGCCTGCCCAGGGAATTGGAGGCCTAGACAGGTGTATTCTCAGAGTGTCAAATTTACTAGAGATGGGAAGAAAACATTACCTTATATTAACAGGAACATAGATCTATTATGAAGTAAAATGCAAAATTCACAAGAATTTTTAAGGAATTAAAAGGATTTCAAAGAACCTTTGTGCTTGAAGAGCTACTTGGGCCCCAGATTCTGGCCCCCCATCCCCCAGGATTTCAAGTATACCCTCTGCTAAGACATATTATTCGAGAAGCCCTAAAATTTTCCATGGTTCAAGTAATAAGAGCAAGCTTCTAATGTGTTCCAGAAACTTGAAGGAAATTATAAATCCTACTGAGCGAATGGATTTCAGCATACCAGATACTATATAAATAATACTAATCGAGTGTTGAATGCAGTGAAAATCTAAAGCCATATGGGACTGTCTCCCTCTACAAATTTCCAAAAGGATGGTGCTTTCAAAACATACTTACTATTCTATTTGAAATTATAGGATCAATGAATTTTAGGAACTGATCTGTTTCGGTTTTGCTTTCTGTTTCTGTGATTGATGTTTTTGAGGTGAAAATGTTGGCTTCCCCCCAGAGAATACTGGCTTTTGATCTCACGTTTTAGGACTTTTTCATAATGAAAGTCTTTGAAATGTTAATGAGCCTATATGTAAAACTCATCCCAGCACTTGCCGATGCAAAGTATTCATTCCCATGCACACTTGCATGAGTGAAAACTCAGGATTTATCGGTGATCTTGCACCTGCATTTCTATTTTAGGGCCCATTTATATCTATTTCTACAAAATCTTTTGTTTGGTATGAATGCTCAAATTCTACTTAATCCAAAAGAACAAATTACCCCTAATTGTCACCAGTCCCACAAATGATCTGTTAAGAAAAGTCAGATCTGTTTATCCATGTAGTCACTCAGGGTCTGTCGACCCCTTTACTAGCTGCTCATCAAAGCTGAGCCCTCAGCATTCTTATTTATCTTACTTTGCAAGAGGAAAGTACCTCATTTCATCTTCCTGCTCAAGAATCATTTTCTCATTCTCCAGGCTTTAGTCCCATCCATATGTTGAATTATAATGGGAAATAAATAATAAATAAATAAATAATCAGTCAAAGGTGTGAGTCCTAGATATTCTCAAGTGGCCCCTGTAGAAAAGGAACTTCTGCCTTTCTTTGCATATTCCTTTTAAGTAATGCATTGATTCATTCTTTGCATATTCCTTTTAAGTAATGCATTGATCCATTCGTTGGAATCGTTCATTCAGCAAACATATTGGGCACTCACTGTGTACCAGGCCCTAGGTATCCCAGACACAAAGACTAAATGTGCAGTTTTTGCCAGGACTAGAGATGCCTGCTGTAACCAGAAGTAACAATATTTTAAGAGCAACCAGAAATCCAGCTTTTGAATGGAATCACTTAACTTTCAAGTGTGGGTGATTTATTTGTAAAAGTAATGTGTGGACCAAACAAAATATATGTACCCTGTCACTGAAAGTGATAGCTGGCTACCTTTCTGTGACCTCTGGTCTGACTGGGTAACCTGGGACATCACTCAGTAATACATTTTCTATGTTCAGATGAAAATTCCTTTCGCTCCCATCATCAGGACAAGTTTTTCACTAGCTTCTCTGTACTCTGAAATGCTCCCAGGCACAATTCAGTCTGCCTAGCTACCTGGAATTGTAAATGGGAGGCAGGGGGCGTCCCGGTAAATAATTAAAGCATGATTAGAGTAGTTTGGCAGATGGTTAGGCTTTATGAGTTATAGATTAGTTATTTTATTGACATCTCAACATTGGTATCAGCATAAAAAGATATTTCTCATCCTGTCTGAGGAATGGCTTATGGTTTGCAGGAAATCTTAACTCTTGATTGACTCTGAACTTCTTTTGGGGCTTCTGAAGCAACTATTTTTGACATTTATAAATTAAGAACTCTTAAAATCAGAAAGCACCTTGTTTGGGCATTGTGCTGTGAATCTGGGCATTGTGCTGTGAATCTGGTCTAATAAAGCAGTTGACCCTTGTTCAGCCAAGAATGGAATGTGAATTCCATGTGCATATCGTATTAGTTAGGTGGACTTTTCTTTTGTTATAACTCAAAATCTTTGTCCAAAAGAAATGAAGGCAATTCATATGTGACTGGAATGAGAGAACTACAAATCTTATCTATTATAAAATCAAACTTCTTGTTTAAATCTCACCCAATGTATTTGTATTCATTGCCTTTGAGCTCCATGGTCTTTTGGGAAACACACACACACACAGACAATTAACCTGTGGGCTCCTACATCTACTTGAACCTTGAGTAGTTCATCTTGACAGGTGTGTGAAATGTGATGCCGAGAATTCCCTTGTGACTCCACTGCATGCACAGATGCTAGAGTGCACATGAATTCAGCTTAAGCAAGCTTTGACTCACCCTTGAAATTTTTCCATTGTGGACACTTATAACAAAAACTCTGGTCTGCAACTTCTCTCTGGCTGCAAAATGGAAACATATCTGCAGAGTAGCAAAAGCAGAGGCATTTTTTAGCTCACAAAAAGCTAATAAAGGAAAACTTTTATGTCATCTTTCAATAACACAGCTAGTTGCCCTAAATGAATATGTGTTAAAGTTCAGAGGGTCTGATGCTGTTAGAATTTGATAGTACAGCACATACAGAATGATGGTTTTTGCTTAGTGGACTCACTTTCTTTGCATTAGCATTCAGATAGGATTTTAATGGTTTTTTTTTTTCTTCTTGGAGATAGTTGTTCTGAGTAATGCACAAATCTAAAAGTCCAAACTAAGTAAGTGAGATCAGATGCCAGTGGGGAAAATGAAGAAGATTGTGGGTGTACAGTGAATCAGAAAGGACCGTGTTTGGTTTGGGGCTTGGTGGATAAAGACATAAGGAAATGCGTGGTTGGTGATGAGCATCAAGGGCCAGCCCAGCTTAGTGACCAACTCAGAAAACAGCCATGGCCCAACAAAGCGATCAGTCTGTGGAGAGAGAACTGATCCAAGAAATTAGGTCGTTTAATATGTTTACATCTTTGGCCTTAATGTATTATTCCTTCTTATCTGGCAGTGGAAATCCTGACTGCTCGTCAAAAGAAAGCAGAAGAACTAAAGAGACTTACTGATCTAGCCAGTCAGATGGCAGAGATGCAGCTGGCCGAACTCAGGGCAGAAATTAAGGTCAGTTCTAAAATATCACAGCCTGAACCCTGAGCCAGAGTTCTGATCCCCATTATGTCTGTTCTGCATCCATAGAGTGCTGTTCTCCGAGGATCTAACATCAGACACCCAGCTGTCTTTCACAGAGTTGAAATTGAGAATACAGAAGGGTTAAAGAAACACCTAGTCACTATATTTAAGTAGACTATGTGTTGAAGGGCTATACAGAGGAGAGGTACAAGCTATTCTTTCAGCCAGTGGAACTGACCCAAATAAAATGTATTCGACCATAAATTATAGCTGGGAAGGGGAACATTATTTTCACCATATGTAATTTATGCATATGTATATAAACACACACACATGTGAACACACACTAAGTATGAACTTAGTATAACAGCAAGGATTCTAAAGAATGTACAATATGTGGAGACTCCTTTCCTATATCCTTTTCTAGCTTACTTGCCCTTTTATTAAGAATACCACCCACAAATATGTATTTAGTGGATTTCTTTAGTTGCACGCAACAGAAGCTGACCCTGGCTAACCTCAAGAACAAGTAGAATTGGAAAGGACATGTGGGTAGCTCACCAAAGCAGAGTGTGCTCTGAAGACTCCAGGTTATAACTGGGCAGAAATGTTGGCAGCAGTAATTACCAGACACTCTTCAGGGCACCATCAGAGTGAGTGACCTCTAGATGTCATCACCCCTTGGGCCACCCCACTGGATTCAAATCCCAAACAGAGAGATTCTGATTGGCCTCCACTTGGGTCACATCCACCATTTGGCCAAGAGAGGTCTTGATTGAAAGACCCACCAATGCTGTGAATCTTGGAAACCGCATTGGGGTACAGTTACCAGAAGGAGAAATTGTTAGCAGAAAGGCAAAAACAAGTATCTACAACAAAATAGGAAGTTACAGTTTATAAATTTTCCCTTATCCTCATTTTCCCCAGTACAGTAAACATACACACATGCACACGCACTCCAGCTTCTGACCGACTTCTAGGGAACTAGCGTACTTTGAAGTCATATTTGTTGCTAGCTTTATAAGTAGGATTGTCTGCTCATCCCAGCATAACCACTGGTTGGGTATGGTAGAAAGTGGCAAGTGAGTTTGGTCCCCTCCATCCTGGTTAGGCATAAAAGAGAGCCCCATGGGGATGAGGATTTCCCCTGAAGGTTCTGAGAAGTTCTGTAGGTCTTTCCCTTCTCACCTGCTCTCCTGGTCTTTGTTTCCTCCAACCCAGTCAATTGCAGTGGCCTCCTGACTAGTCTTTCTGCATCCACTGTCTCCCTCCGGCCTGGTCATTCACCCTGAGACCAGAGTTATTAGAGCAGGTCTGGTCTCCCCCACTATGGTCTCCTCTTCCCTTCAAAATAAAATCCACCACTGGACTCCAGTATATATTTATTATGGCCACTGCTAATTAGTTTCAGTAGAACAAAACCCTTCGTCTTGTGGACACAGATGCACTTCTAATGTCACAGATGTTCCCTGGTCCCAAAGGAGATTAGAATGGGGAATGGGGCTGGTTGGCAGAACCCATCTTGATACCCAGAAAAACATCCTGGAAAGCCAAACAAACAAACACACACTTGTTTTGATAAATATGAAGTTGCCAGCTTCCTGGTCAACTGAAATCCACTCATCTTCCAAGTTTCACTTCTACCCATCAAAATCCCACTCATCGTAAAATGGTTGATAGCACAGGCTATGGAGTGCAACAGTCCTGCTCTTGCAACCTGGGATAAATTACATATTCTCTTAGATTCTTAGAACCTCGATTCCCCCTTTGTAAATTACAGTTAATGTTAGTACTGGCTTCATAATAATGCGATCAGCTGAAAACGAGATTATCTGTTAAGAATTTGGCCCATGTCTGGTAAGTGTTCAATATTTTTTTTAATGTTCCAGCTCAAATGCTTCCTCTTACGTAACTCTTTACCCATTCCCCTCAGTAGGAAATAATTTCTTCCTCTTTCATATTCCTAAAGCACCTACTACATTCTACGTTATATTGTATCTTGTGGTATCTGTCTCTCTTGCCATGTGGTAAACTCCCTGGTAGATCACAGAGGCACTGACTCATAGTTATTTCTGTATTGCTCACTCTGTCATCTACACATAGATCTTAATTTTAAATGAACTGAAAAGTAATCTCTTTCCCACTTCCTTTAACAGCGCTTGAAATTCTACCATTCAAGATAATGGTTTCTAGTTATCGATACTGAAGGCTTTTTGGACTTCCTGGTACCCTATTAAAATGGAGACGGACGTCTAGGAAGGATGACATGCTTTCTCATGAGGAGTGATACTTTAGGAGGCCATTGGCCAGATTAGGAAGACTGCCAGAAGGCAATCCCGTAACTTACAATAGGACAGGAAGTGCTAGAAGGAGGGCGTGGGGTGCTAAAAGGTTTAAGTAGATGAGTCCAGACACACATTTTGCCTGTACAGACAGGACCCACACGTGTTTCCCAGAAGAAGAAGGTGACCGTGCTCCAGGCAGGCCAAAACCAAGCCTGCTTTAACAGAGCCTCCCAGTGACAGAGCTGGCATGCTTCCCCACCTGGGGTTGCTTTCACATCATCAGTGGTGGCGGGAGAGCAGAGAATGGATCAGCAGCATGCCTCAGTCACTTCTGCAATCATGGGTCTCCTGTCTCTTCCCTACAGCACTTTGTCAGCGAGCGTAAATATGATGAAGAGCTTGGGAAAGCTGCCCGGTTCTCCTGTGACATTGAACAGCTAAAGGCCCAAATCATGCTCTGTGGAGAAAGTGAGTTTTGCATACTTGCTAAATAATTCTGTGTGCATAAGCCTGGTGCTATTTGGAGTTGATATCAGAAATGTCAGGTGTGCGGTCCCCCAGGGGGCTAAAGTGAGGTCTAAAGAGATTTAATGATCTAAGGTCATGACACAAGTCGCTAAAAATGTCAAGATCCGAACTTCGAGTCTTCAAATGCCACTGCCCCATCAGTAAATCCTCAGGATTTATTAAGCGGAACAGAACAGGTCAACTAGTTTATATCTTTCGCAAACTTTTCTTAAGCACTGCCAGATCAACTGCTTCTCTGATTTCAAACTGCCTGGTTCTATAGAGACCTGTTACAGGGAGAGGGAGTCTCCCTAACAAGTCTGAGAACAATGGGCTACTGTCGTGAAGGGCCCAGCTGTCGTGTGTGTGTGTGTGTGTGTGTGTGTGTGTGTGTGTGTGTGTGTCACACGCTGCTCAGCAGTGCCTGACTGAGACTCTCCCTTAATTAGAGCAGTTAACATGCAACAAAATTGCCTGATCCTTTTTCCCCCGCTCCAGCCCACCCACCAGGGGAGGTGGGAATGAGCACCAAAGTGGCTTCAAGGATGCCACAAGGAGGAAGAAACAACTGGTGAAGGACATGGAATATCTACAGCCTCGTAGTGAGCTGAAAAATTGAGATTTGGCTTCACTTTTTTTTTTCAAAGTGGAAATTGCATTTTTTTCTGAGTATAAAAAATATAAGCTTGATCTAAAAATTACAAACTATATAAAATAGAGCATGACATTACTTTTGTGGCTCCATCACACTTTTTATGCACATATATCTACTGTGTAAATTATACAGTATACTTAATTATACTACATCATTTACTATACTATACAATATACATATATAGTAAGAGAATTTGCTTTTATCATTTCACAATATATGGCTGACATTTTTCCATGTCAATATATTTAACCCGTAATTTATTTAAATATAATTGGCATAATCAGTCCCTTGATTGTGGACATTTAGGTTGCTTCCAGTTTTTCACCATTAAAATAACACTGCTGTGAGCATCCTTGCTCACATATCTTTGGCAATTTTCTGAATTTTTGACTGCATTTCTTTTAAATTATTTTTTTTCTATACACTCCCTCCCTTATGAATCTACCCCACTTGCCATTCTCCATCCCCAGATTTTGCCTCACCTCTAAAAAACCAGACTATCTGATTCACAGTTGGAAATTTAACTGTCTATCCTAGTTTCCACTCCAGGCTGATAATGGGCAAGACCCTGATGCCAAGTGACTCTGCCACCATCTGAGGAGGGGAGGGCGGGGTAGCGTCACCTGCTCTCCTCCAGAGCACTCCAGTGCCATCTAGTGGGAGGAACCATCCCTTACCGAATCCCAGGTGTCCACATTGGAAGCCAGCCTCCCTTGTTGGAGACAGGAGTCCTTGAAAGGCCCTTTTCTTCTCAGCTTTGTTGAGAGCACATGGAAAGCCACAGCTACTGAACCGGAAATAGTAATGACCCCTGTGAAAGTGAATCTAGTTAGCAAAGAGCCACTAAAATCCCCTCGTCATGTTTGGACAGTACCCGACGTGCCATCACACCTTACCTGTAAAATGAAGGGACTAGAGATTCATCCCTGTCCTTTCCATTTCTAATGTCCTGTGATCCCTATTCACACTCCAAATCCTCAGGAAGAATGCTAGGATTAAGTCTGATCCAACACAGGTAGCAGAGAAAATTGCTTTTAAAAACTGGTGACAATTTTTTAAGATTCAGAGGTCTTGCTGTCCAGACGGGCAGTCAAATTCTGGTGAACTATGAGAGGAAAGTCATGATTATGTCCTTAAGTTGATTCCCTCCGGCCCTGATTCAGCATAATCACACAGAAACATCCCATCAAAAACCACCCCTTTCAAAACCAGTGGGAAGGGTGATAATAAAAATTGAACAGACCTGTCCGAGCCCTGCCGGGGATCTGTCTGATTAGCCTGTGTGGACTTTAGCATTGGAATTGTTGTTAGCATTGGAATTGTTGCAGATTTGCAGTGGGGCTGTAGAAAATGGAGTTGATAAAAGGCCAGATAATGTAACTCTAATGGAATATAGAAGATGCTTTGGGGCATCTTTTGGGCCGGCAGCCATGGCCGTAAGGTCAGGGGATATATACCACCCCAGGGTGACAAAATTCCTGACACCTGGCATCACCCCATTCTGAAGCTCTCAAAATCTTGTGGCTCTGACCAGCCAAGTGTCCGTGTACCTCTAGGTTTTTCTGCATCTCTGCAACACCAACGGGTCTAGGGATATGACAAGAACGGCAAGAACAGGTTTGGTAATGGGGAACCCAAGAGGCAGAGTACCTTTGTGGACAGGGCTGAGAGGGCACTTCGGGGTTTCATTATCCCTCTTCCCTTGGTGGTTCTTGACCTAAGGCATAATATTAAAGGTGCTCAGATCTGTCTCATTTCCTACAAATGTCTCCCAACCTGAATGATTATGCTATTCAGTGATTCTCACAGAAGACATTTGGTGGTCTCCAAGCACCTAGGTGCTTTTTCAAACGATATCTTTCCAAAAAAAAAACAAAAACTTAATGTTTTTATGAAGCTCCTGCCAATTTCTCCGTCTCCTAATGGGTTACCGAGGCACAGCCCCTAACACCAAGTGCTTTCTTGTTGCAGTTACACATCCAAAGAACAACTATTCCTCAAGAACTCCCTGCAGCTCCCTGCTGCCACTGCTCAACGCTCACGCGACCACCTCTGGGAAACAGAGTAACTTCACCAGAAAATCATCCAATCACAACAAGCCCTCCGAGGGTAAAGCAGCAAACCCCAAACTGGCGAGCAACCTTCCCAGTACCGCTGACAGCTCTCACCAGGCTGTGCCAGCTAATAAGCAGGTAAACTGCTCCAGGGAGGCCACCTTGCCCTGCTTCCAGGAGTCCCGCAGACCCTAGTGCATTGCCTGGGCAAGAAACCACTCGTTTGCAAAGAAAACAGCCACCACTGGTCATACCCAGGCTCCGCCCACCCCCAGCAGCAGCCTGACCTCCAGAGCCTCCTTCTGCCTGTCCGGCCTCCCAGAGCTCCCCCGGTCCCATCCGGTCCCCATTTCATAGGCGCTGTCCCCTGTGGAGGAAGTGGTCTTCACACACTTGACAGCATCAGCAAAGAGTCCACGTAAATGAGACAGTGCTTCTCATGCCTTGAGTGCCACCCAGGTCCTCGTAACTGGCCCACATGTGGAAGGGACTCACACAGACATGGGAACAAGATTCAGAACCTGGCCACTGACACCATTAGTGAGAAGAAATCTGGCATGTTTTTTATGATCCTTTAACTCCCATTTATGTCTAGTTTTTCTGTAAGAAGCCAAAGTTAGTTCAAACTGCACTTTCTTCTCTTGGGCTTTCAGTAAAGAGAATACATTTCAAAATGACCTTATTAATTCTTATCTACTATGACCCTTAAAAATAGAAGTATCCAAAAGGACAGTCTTCTCTCCTTCTGCTTCTCCACTATATCCTTGAGAAGTGATTTCTTCCTTATCATTAGAGAATGACCAAGAAATGGGTTTTGATGATTCAGAAGCTGGGAATGCTATAAAGACATTTTTCCTGAGCTCTCAGAAAGAGAGCTTGAATAAAGAGACTTTTTTTTTTTACGCATTCCAAAATGCTGGTTTTCTAACAAGTGCCCTGTTGGATTTTGTGGTCTTGGTCTTTTAGAATTCTCATTAGTGACTGTGACAGGCATTTCTCTGGGCCCAGATGTCTTCATGAACTTTAAAATAGCACTTGGACAAGGAGTATTTCATACAGTCATAGATTCAAGATCATAACCAGATCTGTTTCACTTGTCTAAATACAGCTTCATAGCTTTTTTTCTTTGCTTATTGTTTTTTTTTTTTGCGGTACGCGGGCCTCTCACTGTTGTGGCCTCTCCCGTTGTGGAGCACCTGCTCCAGACACGCACGCCCAGCAGCCATGGCTCACGGGCCCAGCCGCTCCGCGGCATGTGGGATCCTCCCAGACCGGGGTACGAACCCGCGTCCCCTGCATCGGCAGGCAGACTCTCAACCACTGCGCCACCAGGGAATCCCCGCTGCTCTTTTAAGCTCCAGGATTCTATCAGCTTGACCTCATTTGCATGTTGTCGCATTCTTCTGGGGTGTAAAAAAGCTTACCTGTGACTTAGAGATTTGGTTTCCCTGACGTCTACTGATGTCATCTGAGGTTTGTTGGCATCTAATACCTCTTTTTTTTTTTTTTTTTTGGTAGAATGGGTCTTCTAGCCAAAGACGAAGATTTAATCCGCAGTATCACAACAACAGGCTAAATGGGTCTGCGAAGCCCCAGGGCAGTGGTAACGAAGCTGATCCGATGGGGAAGGGCAACAACCGCCATGAACACAGAAGACAACCACACAACGGCTTCCGTCCCAAAAACAAAGGCGGCACCAAAAACCAAGAGGCCTCTTTGGGAACCAAGACCCCCGAGGCCGCAGCCCATCCGGAAAAGCCCCGACGAAGGCAGCACGCTGCAGACAACTCAGAGGCCAGGCCTTTCCGGGGAAACGTCTCCAGGGTTTCACAGTGCAATCTCTGCCCCACGAGAATAGAAGTTTCCACAGATGCCGCGGTTCTCTCCGTCCCAGCTGTGACGTTGGTGGCCTGAGCTAGGAGAGAGAAAAAAAAAAAAAGCCGTTTTCATTCAGTTTCTGTTCCCTGCCCGAGGTGCTGACCCAATTCGCTGCCAAAAGAGAGTCAATCCGAATATACAAACCCTGTACGGCTGTGTCATCCTCTCTTAATCATTTTTTCTAATTCTAATAATCAGCTCTAGCTTGCTTCATAACTTTCATGGCTTTGCTTGATATGTTGGCGCTTTTTCTCATCAAGACTTTGCAGCATTTTAGCCAGGCAGTATTTACTCATTTGTTAGGAAAATCAAGTTGTGGCTAAAGATCAGAGGCTCAGTAGCAACCTATGTTGTAGCAGTGATGTCAGTCCATTGATCGTCTTTAGAGAGTTAATGTTGAAAAAAAAATTCTTATTGATCAGACAAACTTGATCTGCTGAAGACACGTGCGCTTTTCTAGAGTTTAACATCTGGTGTTTTTCTGAAAAAAAAATATATACATATATTGCTTTATTTGAAACAAATTAAAATATGCTGCATTTGACACCTGGCATGTTTTTTTTCTTTTTAATTTATGCCCACTTTATCATCCAGTGTACTAGGTAGTACTTTCAAGAAAACTTTAGAGACTAGAAGTTGTGGCACAGAGCTCTGAACAATACTGTTTCTCTTGGGACAGGTAACCTTTTGGAAAAAACAATGCCTGACAATGGCCCTGCCAGTACGTTACACGCATATAGATGGATGTGCACCCTGATCATCTTAGACACAGCGCGGTAGTTTGGAAACCCTGGTTGCAAGTAATATAATCCTTAGCCTCGTTGAAACAATAAAGAAAAGGTATTGGTTTAGTGGCTGCAAAGCCCAGTATCAAAGTATGCCTTGGGTCCAAATGGATCAGGACTCTAGCCCCTTTCTCCTGGTTATCTCAGCTCTCCCTTCCTCCTTGGGCTGACATTGTATTCAGAATGGTGGCAAATAGCTGCCTCACTCCTAAGAGTCACGTCCACCCCTACACTGTCCAGAAGAAAAGAGAAGCTCTCCAGGTAGCGTCCACATGGAGCAAGTGTCTTTCTCAAAAGTCCCAGCGAGGGCCTTGCATATCATTGGCCCAGGCTGCTGGTAGGCTTGTCCCTCAACCAATCAGCAAATGACATGTGCTAATTAGCATAGACTAATCAGAGCCCACCCCCAAGCTGGGTAGTGGCCGGCTGCCCAGAAGCACAGGGGCTGTGTGCAGCAGGGCTCCTGTGACCTGAGGAAGGGAGAGGGGATACCGGGGGCCCACATCCTAAGAAGCCCTAAGTCCCCTGTCTTGGAGGGCAAGGCAGCTCAGTTTGGCCACTGCTTCCATCGAAATTCCATGTGTCCTACAGATGTGTTGGCCTCTTTCAAGTTCAAATGCTTATTTTCAACTCAAAGTTAACGTTTTTTCTGGCAGCCCAGGTTCAGTGGCTCTCTTCCACAGAGCAGCCCCGAGCACCTGAGCCTGCACACCACGCAAGCATCCGTTTCTTCTTTTGCCAAGTGCAGGGAGGATGTTTGCTCTCTCTGGAGAGAACCTTCTGAGGTCTCTGGGTGTACCCAGAGATTTAATAGGAATTTTATTTTATTTTATTTTTGAATTTATTTTATTTTTTTTATACAGCAGGTTCTTATTAGTTATCTATTTTATACACATCAGTGTATATCTGTCAATCCCAATCTCCCAATTCATCACACCACCATCACCTCCCCCCGCCGCTTTCCCCCCTTGGTGTCCATACATTTGTTCTCTACTTCTGTGTCTCTATTTCTGCCCTGCAAACCAGTTCATCTGTACCATTTTTCTAGGTTTAATAGGAATTTTAAATGTTAAGTCACATTCCAGGAAGGAAGGAAGGTTTGTTCGTTCAAATAAGAAAGATAAATGTTCAGGACTGCAATCTCCGTTTATTCCATCTGAGGCCCTGGATTTATATTTTATAAGACAGGAGGACTTTGCACAAATTTTGTGCGCCAAGATTTGGCTCACCACAGAAAAATGTCAGTTCAAATGTAACAGCTTTAAAGATGAGTCAAATGATTATTGCAACAGGAAAATGACGGGTTTGCCAGGTCAGGAGCACAGCTGCCTTTGTCAGGGTGGACCCTCCACCCTCAACCTTGACGCACCCATCATGCTGTTCTTGGGGTTAAGAAGCTCAGCCACATTCCTAAGCACGTAGCAAACGCTCCGGGTCACTGAAAAGAAACAAAAAAGAACGCTAAGAAATATTCAGACCTGTTTACGTTTTTTTCCTAGATTTTTGCCTTTCTTGTAGACCCTGGGCATGTAAGCATTCACCAGTGTGCATCTTTGAAATGGTAATTTCAATATTTTAGTCCCAGTGTCAGTCCACTGAAATACTATATTACATATCTTCATCTGTTCCGGAGGAATCATTGGGGTGATCCTCGAAATCTGGGTTGAATTCTGCCATTATTTTAAGATATTTTAAACTTCTTCAAAAAAAAATCCACAGGCTATGGGCACTCTAATCTCTCTACTTAATGCACAGTAGCCAGAAGAATAGATTCTTTTCTCTTAAACACTTCTCTAGTAGAGATTAAACCATTTTGATACCTGTGAAGATTGAATAACTTCAAAACTCACCTACATTGTACCACCAAGACTCCATCCGTTAAAGGCAAAACCTCCCTGTTGGGTTCCCAATTACATTCCAAATTTACATTTCGTTTGAGAATCTCTACATACTCCAGCTCTGTGCCGTTGACCCTATTCTAGGGGTGCTCAGTACAGCAAGGCTCAGAAGGTTAAACACAAGTTGGTGCAAAATTCACCCTCAATAAAGGCCATACAAGTGTTTGTGGGGAAGAAATAAGCCCATACTATATCCAATTTAGAGCTCAGTTCAATTCTGCTGGCATCAGAAAACGAGATTTTAATTTAACATTCTTAGGGAAGCAACATCAAATGAGGTTAATGATGTAAGTTAGCAGAGGAAAGCGACATGCAGATTTTTACTGAAGTAAGAGATTTGGGAATTCTGACTCTGAAAGCCTCAATCTCGATTTAACCATGAGAAGAGGGAATCCAAGGCCCGGACAGTTCTTTTCCTAGGGCAAGGGGGGGGGGGGGTGAGGTGGGGGGCGGGGAGAAGGGGGAACAACGGAGACAGCTAGGGAGATGCCTGAATTCAATAGTACCTTTGACTAAGCTTCCTCCTTCCCTCCATCCCTCCCTTTTGATGCTGTATCCTACGCTGTCCGTTTAGAGTGCCCTCTTGTGTCTGGAGATGGGAACATTTTCATTTCTCAGCAGACATTCTAGTGGCAGCATCCATAAAATATGTAATGGCACCTTTTTTTTAACCACACTTGCTTCAGAGCCTATACCTAAAATTCAGGCACAGGTGAGCTAGGGTTCCAGATTGTCCCCAGGTGCCAAAAAAATGAAGCAAAGGAGAAAGAAACAGTCACTCCCAAATTTCCTAAACAAACCAAAGATAATAATAATAAATAATAATTATTCAACTGATTAATACATTGCTCTCGCATTTTCCTGAAAGTACTGAGCCATCTTAACTGATCTAATTTTGTGAGAAAAAATATGAAGAGTTGCTAGGTCCCAGGATTTCCCTCGTTAGCTCAAGAATTTGAGGCACAATTTTAATACTATTCATTGTAAACTGTTAAAAAGATTTTTTTTTCATCCTTTTCCCAACAAACCTTTATAACTCCTAAAGAAGTTTTCTGTCTGTTCTTTGTTTCCAAGAACCAAGTCCCCAAGCCTTGGAGGCAGATCAGCCCAAACCAGAGTATAATCTCATTACAGCAGCCCCTCAGGCAAAGGAACTCCCATCTGTACCCAGTCATGCTATCTGAGAAACACACAAGTTTCTCACAAATTGTTTTTGGTGATTGATTTTCAGAAGCCCCCTTGTTTGTGAACCCTACAGCTCAGAAGAGTTTTCAGTGCTACCACTAAGTTCAAGTTTCACAGGAGAAATTACTGCACACAGTTTTTAGAGAATATATAAATTCAATGGCAAATTTATTTGCTTGAGAGAGTATGTAGATTCTGGCAAAAAAAAAAAAAAAAAAGTATTTCAGAACCATGACTACAACCAGGACCAAAGACTCTCTACAGAAAATAAGTATAAAAAAGCACTTCCTGGGGCGGTCCCACCCCCTGCGCCCAGAAAGGAGCCCGCATTTCCGCAGAGCTGGAATTTCTGGCTTGGGGTCTCTTCCCTCTGCCGTCACTGAACTGCCCCGGAGCTCTGCAGGGGCCTCGGCAGCCGAAGCCACGACAGCCCTGGGGACCGTGGGCCAGGCAAACAGCAGAAGCAAGAACTACAATCCTGCAGCCTGTGGAACAAAAACCACATTCACAGAAAGATAGACAAGATGAAAAGGCAGAGGGCTATGTACCAGATGAAGGAACAGGATAAAATCCCAGAAAAACAACTAAATGAAGTGGAGATAGGTAACCTTCCAGAAAAAGAATTCAGAATAATGATAGTGAAGATGATCCAGGACCTCGGAAAAAGAATGGAGGCAAAGATCAAGAAGATGTAAGAAATGTTTAACAAAGACCTAGAAGAATTAGAGAACAAACAAACA